TTTTTTTTTTTTTAATCTGTGAACTTTCCTTTTAGTAATCATCCGTAAGGGGTCAAATTGGCTAAAACCTAAAGTTCTAATAAATCTCTACCTCACCACAAATTTGAGTTGACAACCCTATAACCAGCTATACTTGTTTTTCCCACTCTGAAAGAACTAGCAACAAATTTCAGCGAAAAATGTAATTTCAGCAATGGCGTATCTCGTGTAGGAGTTTATATCGGAGCGAACATATGCATAGATCAAATGGACACGGACCATGAAGTGGATGTCTTCCATGCAGTAAAAATGATGCGGATAAACCGGCCACAGTTGATCGATATGAAAGTAAGCCATTTTGCAAACTTTTCCTAAATTTTACAAGAACTTCGATTTAGGATGAGTACAAGTATCTGTATGACTTGATGTTACATTGGTACATGACAAATCCCGAATACCGAATCTATGACAAGGACGACGCAGCCGAAGAGGATGGTTCAAAACCCGCGTCAACTCGGCAGTCAATGCGTGACAAGGATCGCTGGCTGCGAGGCCAAAACTCGGTCCGAAAAGACCCTCACAAAATCGCAGACAGTAACTAGCAATTTGCTAAGGGCTAGGATTTTCTAGTGAAGCCACCCAAAGTGCTGTGATCCTGCGCGGAATGTTGCATCCATTGTACTTAAACGAGATCTTTCTTTCATCGCGGTTTTCTTTCTTGTTTTTGCTAAATCAGGTATGTCAGGTACGAATTTGACGGGTCTGTTTGAGAAGCCATCAGATCATTTGCTCACCTGTATCTAGTCAGTTGTGCCTATTTGAAATTTGTAATAACTAAAACATATCATATATTTGTTGCTAGACTCAATATTTTCGCGGATAATCACCGCAAAAGATTAGTTGAAGTAGGATTTTGAAATGATCCCTTATGGGATGATATGTAAGGCCCATCTGTATGCGATACGCAACAGATGTCTTCTAGGTATCAGTTCTCAGATGCACTTATAGGGAGCCTTTTCTGTGGCCTTCTTTTACATATTGTACATTGTGTTATTCCGATGCTTTCACTGTGATTTTTATTTTTCGTTATCCTTATACAAATAAATATTATCGATTTTGGTTTTATCACAATATTTTCATAGAAAACGTTGAATCTTAGCTGGAAACAACGGGCGAGCTTTGGCCAGAAGGTTGTCCCGCGAGAGATAGCACCCGCACATTTGACGCCATCCCTAAATGGATAAAATTAGG